TTGGGTCTCAGGGACACTGGGCACAACAAAAAAGTACAAAAAGAGACAGGGATGAGGATGGGGGTGGTTAAGTGAGAACCAGCACCAGAAATGGCCAGCCCCCCATCCCCTCCTCCATCCCAGCCCTCTGGCCAAGAATATACCTCCCAGGACTTCCTAGGAGTCTCTCTGAAGAAACTGAATCGCCTCAGGGGGAAAAAATGGTCTAGCAAACAGTAACATTTATTCAATTCTCTAATAAAACAGCTGGCTCCCTGTCCCCAATCATCTTAAAGTGAAGCCTACCAGGTGACAGTGCACCTCGCACACACAGCTCCCAGTCACTGCTAAATACAGACAACCAGGAAAAAAAAAAAAATAGGTACATTGGATTTCATCAAAATTAAAAACTCTTATGCTATCAAGAATGTGGAAAAAAATGGCAGATTAGGAGAAAATATTTGCAAATCATATATCCAATAAAGGACTTCTATCTAAAATATATAAAGAACTGCTACCTCAATGATAAAAATATACATAGCCCAATTTAAGAATAGGCAAAGGATCTAAATAGACATTTCTCCAAAAAAAGATATACAAATGAGCTGGGCACAGTGTCATGCACATGGAGTCCCAGCCAATAAGAAGGCTGAGGTGCGAAAACCACTTGAGCCCAGGGGCTCAAGACCAGCCAAGGCAATGTAGGGGACTGGGGGTATAGTTCAGTGACAGAGCGCATGGTTAACATGCACAAGGCCCTGTGTTCAACCCACAACACCATAAAAGGGAGGAAAAAAGATAGACAATTGATCAATAAGCAAAATGGTTAATTAGGGGAAGAAAAGATGTTCATCCTTTGTTATCAGGGTAATGCAAATCAAAGCCACAAGAACTACCGTGCCACATCCACTAGGATAGCTACCCTCACAGAGAATGAGAATATCAAGTGTTGGTGAGGATGTGCAGAAGCTGGAAGCCTCAGACACTGCAGGTGAGAATGTAAAATAGTGCTGGCGCTTTGAAAAATAGTCTGATAGTTCCTTAAAAATTTAAATAGGTAGGGCTGGGGATGCAGCTCAATTGGTAGAGTGTCTGCCTCACATGCACAAGACCCTGGGTTCAATCCTCAGCACCACCACACACACACACACACACACACACACACACACACAAAGGTAAATAGGGTCTGGAGTGAAGTTCAGTGGTAGAGAACTTGACTAGTATGTACAAAGCCCTGAGTTCCATCACCAGCATTGCCAAAAAAAAAAAAAAAAAAGTACAGAGTGTGCACATCTATAATCCTAGCTACTACACAAAGGCTGAGGCAGGAGGATTTCAAGTTCAAGACCAGACTTAAAAAGTTGTTTATGATCTAGATTCTTTACCCAGTCAAATATCAAGCAATCAAGTATAAGGATACAGGAAAATGACATTTCAAACAGGCAAGGTCATTGATCTGCCATGCATCTTCTCTTTTTTCTTTTTTGGTACCAGGATAGAACCCAGGGGTGCTTTACCACTGAGTTACATCCCCAGCCCTTTTTATTTATTTTCTATTTTGAGACAGGATCTCACTAAGTTGCTACACATCTGTTCTAAGAAGGTACTACAGGATATGCTCCAGCAAAATGAGTTGGGTACACTAATGAAGAGAGAACTATCAGATATAAGAAACTGTAGGTTCAATATAGGAGAGTCTCCAGATGACAATTATAGAGTAATCAGTTTAAATGAGAGTAGGAAAATAGAAGCATTTTGGTGGTAAGAAGATTTCCAGGAGAAATCTGGAGTAGATAATTTAACTATGAAAATACATAAATTTCTTTTCTTTTCTTTTTTTTTTTTTTTTTTTGTGGTAAGAAGATTTCCGGGAGAAAGGAGAAACAAATAAATTAATAGATTTTAGCAGTTGGGAAAAAAACATTTTTTTTTCTATTTTTATATGGTGGTTCTAATAAAGCAATTTGTAAAATCTTTTTTTTTAAGAGAGAGAGAGAGAGAGAATTTTTTAATATTTATTTTGTAGTTTTTGGCCAACACAACATCTTTGTTTGTATGTGGTGCTGAGGATCGAACCCGGGCCGCAAGCATGCCAGGCGAGCGCACTACTGCTTGAGCCACATCCCCAACCCCAATTTGTAAAATCTTTAAAAATAAGCTTATTTTAAAATAAGTAAGGGTAAAAGCCATTTATTTACAAGGAAAAAAAATCCAAAAATTGTACAAGAAATGAACATAATTTTTTTTTGGTTAATTGGTGATCAATCTACATTGTCAAAAAAATGAAAAATGTTTTACTTCTTTTACTAAAGTACATAACTTATTCCATATGATTACATTGGGATAATAAGGGTAAACATGATATCATAACTGATATTTTTTAACATTTTTTTTTTTTTGGTACTCGAGATTGAACCCAGAGGTGCTTAACCACTGAGCCACATCCCCAGGCCTTTTAAAAATATTTTATTAGAGACAGGGGCTCACTGAGTTGTTAAGTGCCTCACTAAGTTGCTGAGGCTGGCTTTGAACTCACAATCCTCTGCCTCAGCCTCCCAAGCTGCTAGGATTACAGGTGTGTGCCACCGTGCCCTGCTCATAGCTGATATTTTTTACCATAATGAAATATGTAATGTCTTAGTCTCAACATCAAGGTGTAGCAATATAAGCATATTATTTAAAATTCAGGTGATAAAACTCAAATAAACAGTTAACATTTATAGACATTGTCTCTGATACTTGGACATGGGTGTAGGGTGGAACAGACAAAAATCTGATATTTTCATTATAAAAGCCTCTTGGAGTAGATAATCTAACTATGAAAATACATTAATTTATTTTTTTTTTTTTTTGGTGGTAATGGGGGGGGTACCAGGGATTGAACTCAGGGGCACTCAACCACTGAGCCACATCCCCCGTCCTATTTTGTATTTTATTTAGAGACAGGGTCTCACCGAGTTGCTTAACGCCTCGCTTTTTGCTGAGGCTGGCTTTTGAACTCGTCTCCTCCTGCCTCAGCCTCCTGAGCCACTGGGATTATAGGTGTGAGCCACTGTGCTCAGCCTACATTGATTTTTTAAAAAGGATCAAGTTCGGTGTGGTGACATATGCTCCTAATCCCAGAGAATAGGGAGGCAGAGATAGGAGGAGCACAAATTCAAGGTCAGCCTCCCCAACTTAGCAAAGCTCTTATCTCTAAATAAAAAGAACTGGGGGTGTAACTCAGTGGAAAAGCACCCCTGGGTTTGCACCCTAGGAATGCAAAAAATAAATAAACAAACATATAATAATTTTTAAAAAGATCAATGGGCTGCGGAGGCAGCTCAGAGGCAGAGCGTGTGCTTGGCATGCGAAAGACCCTGGGTTCAATCCCCAGCGTTGAAAAAAGAAAAAAAATCAAGTAAAAGAAAAGATGACTTATTTTTCATCACAGCATAGATTAAATGCAGACTTTAATAAAATCAAGACCATCCAGGATCCAAGTCACCTTCCCAGTTTTGTTATTCCTTCTCACATAGCTTCCCCCAACACCTTCCCACTTCCTTCCATGTTTGGGGCTCACATGCTCCCAGGCTATACTGGGGTCCCCATCTCTGCCTGTTGGATCCTGCTCACCCCCTAGGGCCAGGTCCAACTTCCATCCTGTTTGCAGAACCAGCTATTCCTGTGAGCAGAGTGTGAAAACGTGGGCCCCGGAGGCCATTCCAGTGCTTGGCTCTTCTGGAGAGAGCCAGCCTTGTGGGCTTAGTTGTGAATGACAGCTGGCCTTCCCAGCAGGGGCCTGAGAGCCACCTGGAATGATATAATGATATATATATATATATATATATATATATATATATACACACACACACACACACACACACACACACACACACACACTTTGGTGTGAATACTTCCTTTTCTAGGACAATAAGGCTTTCAGATTATCAAAGCAGAGCAAATAGGGGTGAGAACTACAGAGAAGAGGTATTAAAAGGAGCCTGGCACAGTCCTCTGGGCATTAACAGAACTGAAGGGGCAGGAAGGGGAATGTGGGCGGGGCCACCCAGGCCGGGTGTCCAAGCACTTAGGATATTCAAAGGCTCAGAGTGCCGAGGACTTCCTGCCCGTCCTCAGGCCTGGCTTGGTCAGCACTGCTCGGATTTTCCCTGCGTCCCTTTCCTATGTGTACTGGGCTCCTGGAAGGCAAGCTCCCAGAGTGGGTCTGCACCTCCTGGCCCCAGGAAAGTGTCTATGGATGGGCAGTACCTGTCCACAGGTGGAGTGGGGAGAACAACAGAGGGCAAGTCCATGGTGTGGACTGTACTTCTTCTGGGGTGGCCTGGCTGGAGCAGCTCTGCAGGATGAGCTATATTCTAGTCCTACTCTCCCCTTTCCCAGCTCTGTTCAGCCCAACTCACCCTGGAGACACACATTGGGACTGGCTGCCCATCTCCAGCCCCAAAATCAATCTGGGAATTGCCATGTGAAGACCTGAACATTGACTCTGCTCCCACCCCTTAGGGTCCCCTATATGTCTTTTTCTAGCACTATGATCTCCCTAAAGCCCCACTTCCTGCCCAGGCCTGGAAAAGGGACTCTTGGGCTGGGGTGCGGCCCAGTGGTGGAGCATTTGCCTAGCATGAGTTAAAGCTCTGGGTTCAGTTCCCAGAACCACAGGGAAAAAAGAAACAAGAAAGAAATTTGAATCAAATGTATGAAATATGATATGTCAAGAGCTTTGTAATGTTTTGAACAACTAATAATAAAAAAAAATAGAAAATTTTGAATAAAAGTGCTATAAGCATGTGTGCACAAAAAAAAAGAGGGAGGGGCCCCTTCCTATCCTCCCGGCTCTCTGGCATCACACACAGGTTCCGGGACTTATTTCCCTCCAGAGGGGGCCTTTCTGCGCTTGCTTCTCCACTTCTCTCTCATGCAGCCCCCACAATGACAAGGACACCTGTGCCCACTCTTTCCCTGATTTCACCGTCGCGGATGCACTGGGGATGGAAGGAAAGGTTTACCCAAGGGCTTACCCAGAACTTCACAAGAAAAAAGGCATTGGAGGGTCCCCGTTCAAAGAGCTCCTTGAGCCCGCCCTTCTTCTCTGGGAACTTGTCGTAGATCTGGCGGATGTCCACGGCTTCGAGGTAGGGGTCGCTGTAGCTTGGGCTGGACTGGCCGATGTGCACGAACAGATGCTTGTTGTACTGTGGCGGGAAGAGTGGTCTGAGAGGGGTGCCAGGAGAGGCGGGCACACAGGTGAAGTGGACCAGAGCTGGTGCTCACCGGCTATGTGACCTGGAGCGAGTCACTTCACTTCTCCCATAGGGAATACAGAAACAGAATGAGTGTATGTGATTCATGGTTCCTCTGCCAAAAATCAACTCAGAATGTCACAGCGGCATCCTGTCAGCAGCCTCCTCCAGTACTACTCTGGCCCTTGCAGGGGATGCTGGTCACCCAAGACGTGGGACACTGAAGGGGCAATCCAAGGGTGGGCTGCCACTCCTTGCTGGTGCCTCAAAGGATATGGATCAGACACAGGAGGCTTCCCAGCTTCCTGACAGCCCCTCCGAGGCAGGGAGTGGAGGGAAGGGTGTGGGGCAGGGCTAGAAGGAGGGAGGAAGAACACAGGACAGGGCGGGGGCAGGAAGCAGGGGAGGGCTTGGGATGGAGGCACTCCAGCATGCAGGGAAAGAGAGGCACTCCAGCATGCAGGGAAAGAGGGAGGACCAAGGCAGAGTGAGGAAGAAAGGGAGAAGAGGAGGGAAGGGCCAAAGAAAGGAAAGGCTAGAAAGGAAGAGGAAACCAAGATTATGCCCAACGTGGCCAAGTGCAGAAGGGCAGCAGGCAGAAGCAAGGAGAGCTGAAGGGCGCTGGGGCAGAGGGCCTACCGTGTCTGGGTCCTGCTGCTGCTCCAGGAAGGCGGAGAACTCCAACATCCAGAGCTTGGAGCTGGCCACACTGCGGCCCTGCCACGGGGGTGCTGGGGGTGCTGAGGGCGATGGGGTGGGTCCTGCAGGAGACTCAAACCCTGCAGAGGGTGGGAGAGGCTCAGGAACCGGTCCACCTGCCCTCCCTGCTACACCCCCTGCAAGGGCTCTGGGCCCCACAAGTGAGGCCCGTGCCTGTTGGAAAGGGCAGTGCCAGGCACAGGCTCGGACGTCTTGGAAGGGCTAGCCTGGTACAGCTCAGTGGGTCAGGCCTCTGCACAGAACTGAACTCAAGGGAGACTGAATTCTGACGGGGGCTGGGGGCCTGCTGGACTGCAGGACCTCTAGAGCAGACACTGTTGGACTCTTGGTCTCCTGCAGCTTCTGGCCCAGGAAGGAAGATAACCAGAGAAAACGATTCTTACAAAATGACATGAGCCCCTGAAAGCAGAAGTTTTTTGCCTGGTTCCAGCACTGAGAAAAGAACCTGGCTCAGAACAGGCATGGGATACAAGGTTGCTAAGGAATGAATGAATGAATGGGACAAAATTGACAAGGTATGCCCTCAGCACCAAGAGGAGCTCCTAGCCCCCTTGGAAAAACTCTTCAACATTCAAAGGTGCTGTTTGAGAGAAGCAAGTAGGAAGTTCAGGTAGAAAGGGCATTCCAGATAGAACAGCAAAGGCAAGCGTGTGGGGCTGCAAATTGGCTCACTGAGGTTGAAACTCAACACATGGCAAAAATGGAGGGAGGAGGGAGTGGGCCAGGGGCAGTAAACTGAGGCTGCAGAGATGGCCTCTAGGGTGCCTGGTCAACAGGATGGATTTTACCCGAGAGTCCAGGAAAGCCATTGGAGATCTGAGGCAGGGAGTGAAATACTCAGGTTGGATTTTTTTTTTTTTTTTTTTTTTGAGTTTCTGGGCAAACGCTCCACCACTAAGCTATAAGGGCAGCCAGGTGATGCAGCTCCCTGGAGCAGAGGCACTGCCTTGGAGCTTTGTGCAGCCAGGTAGCCCTGAGCACAGCTGGGGAGGAGGACAGCAGTACAGGCCCCCCAAGGAGGACAACGGCTTGGCACAGGGGTGAGGAGTATACACTAGGGTCAATGAATAGGGTGTAGGCACAAGACTGGGATATATGGTCAGGGCACATGACAGAGTGGCACATGAGAGTGACACACAGGCGACCAGTTACTGGGAGCCTGGGATCAGGGCAGGAGCCTCAGGGAATGCACTGCCAACTTACCTGGCAGAGGCAGTGGAGGCTGGACAGTATAGGTTTGTTGAGAGAAGGGTTTCACACTATGGGAGAGAGGAGAAAGGAGACCATCAGCGACCTCAAGCAGGGGCCAATGCCCTCTGGGTGGCAGGCCATGGTGACTGGCCATCAGTGAATCGTGGTGGCTTTGGCCTCCCATTCCCTCCAGTTAACTCCCTTGGCATGCATGTTGGGGCAACCCATCCTGTTCTCCCTGGCCCACCAGAGAGATGATTCTTAGGCTATTTCCTTTTGGATCCAAAGCCCTAGCCCCACCCACACCCTGGACAGACATGAGTTTCAGCAAGTGGTACCCCAGGGGGTCAGCATGAAAACAGAGTCATGTTGATGCCCAGGAGCAGGAGACCCAATCCCTAGGCTCAAGGCTATTCTGAAAGTCTGACCCCAGCCTGCAGCCCCACTCCTTCCAGGGGAGCCAGGCTCAGTCTCATGAGTCACGTGTTCAGACTGGTTCAGGGAGCAAGTAGTAGCAGAACGAGGCCATACTCACTCATGGGATGTTCCAGCTTGGCCTGGCAAAGCTCCTTGCCAAAACTGAGGAGGCAAAAGGGGCAGGGTCAATTATATGCACACAGGGGCCCAAGGTGTGGGAGAGACAAAACTGGACCCAAATGGGAGGAAGGAAAGCCAATGCCCTTGTCTAGCAAGTTGATGCCAACAGACTATAGCCGCATCCACAAAGTGTGTTTTCAGGTACATTAGTCTCTGGAAAGACTGTCAATAAGATGCTCCACGGGAAAAAAATAAAACACCTAGGTTTGCTAACACTGCACACTGAATTCCCTATAAAGATTCACAGTGCACATGAGCACTTTAGACTCTGAAAAATCCTAGAATCAAGAAATCGAGGCCAGGCACAGTGGCACATGCCTGTAATCCCAGCAGCTCGAAAGACTGAGGCAGGAGGATCTAGAGAGGCTCTAAACAACTCAGCGAGACCCTGTCTTTAAATAAAATATAAAATAGGCTGGGGGTGTGGCTCAGCAGTTGAGTGCCCCCGAGGCTGGGGTGCAGCTCAGTGGTACAGACTGTACTTAGCATGCATGAGGCCCTGGGTTCAATCCCTAGCACCAAAAAGGAACTGATTTAATTCCAAGTGTCCCAAACTTACTTGCCCACTCAATTATCTTGTGTCACATCTATTTAACATGCTATTGGCCTAGCATTCCTGTCTGGAACACACTCCGAAATACAATGCACAAGAAGCCCATGGACTACTATGGGGCCTGCCCCTTGTCCACAGGCCTAGGGCAGTGTGGTTGGTGCATCTAAGACCCATATGATCCCTACAGCCAAGACACAACTTGGGAAGGAGGAGTGTTTCTGGAACATTTTCTAAGTGTGGCCAACTTGACCATGGCTGAAAGGCTGGTCATTAGGCTGAGAAATTGAAAATCTAAGCAAGGGTTTGTTTCTGGACAGCTCTCTACCTAGAAGGGGGTGGTGCTGGGATCCTGAGCAGGAGGAGTGGGGACAAGTAGTGGCCAGCTACTAGGGACACACTGATGCTATGCTAAAGCCTCAGACTTCAGCTTCCTCATCTGTAAATTGGGCTGTCCCTCAAATGGTCACACCTTTCTCCTTGTTTGAGGTCTGCCATATCACTGCTGAGGATACCAAGAAGGTAGCTCCACCCACTGAGCCATGACTCAGGGTGCTCCTGTGCCCTTGCATCCTCCTTCCCCCTGGAGCTCCTCGACGGATAGGACTCAAGTGAGAGTGGCTGCTGGACTGGCTGCTGCTCGTATTTGTGCAGAGAGAGGGGAGAGAGCAGAGAGGAGAGAGGAGAGAGGAGGACAGGGCTGGTCTGGCCTCTGGTTCTAGGCTGCCCCACTTACCCCTGAGACTGCTGGGTAGCCTGGGCCCCGGGCGAGGGCCATTTTATTGTGGAAAGCTGTGGCCGAGATGATCTGGGCGGACGACATGGCAGCCATGCTCTGCAGGGCCTTGTCCTTAGCTGCCTGATCCTGGGGGAGACATTGAAGGCAGTGCCTCAGTGAGGGGAGCACCTGTCAGGCCCAGGCAAGGTGGGTTCTGGCCTTGGGGTGACAGGACCTGTCCCACTGCCAGTGGCCAGAGCCTAGGAACCATATCTTAAGTCTGCAGTGCCACTAACACATTTTATGACTGTGCATGCCACTGGGTTCTCTATGGATTCCCTCATCTGTCACAGCCTCCGCACACCACTTATCCTGCTAATTCCATCAGAGCTCAGAGACTGTGGAAACCGTGCCAGACTGTAACTTTCTTCTTTCTTTCCTTCTTTCTCTCCTTTTTAGCAGTGCTGGGATCAAACCCAGGGCCTCGCACATGCTAGGCAAGTGCTCTACCACTGAGGTATATCCCCAGCCCTGCATTTCCATCTTACCAACCATGAGAACACCTTAAAAACAGGGGTCTTGGGCTGGGGGTGTAGCTCATGGTAGAGGCCTTGCCTAGTACACGCAAGGTCCTTGGTTCCATCCACGGCACTGCAAAAGGAAAAAAAAAAAAAAGAAACCAAGAGTATAGGTCTCTTTCTGCCTCGTCCACCACTGTACTCTGAACCTCAGCACCTGGATGGTGGTGGATGATGCCTAAGTAACTGTTGGATTCCATGCTCTGCAGGGCCTTGTCCTTAGCTGCCTGAAGAGGGATCATCTTTGTCCACATGGACTGTGTGGAGGAGAGGACAATCTCTTATGGTCCTACATTCTGCCCTACGGTGTCCCCTTTGCACTATAGGCACTTACTTTTCATATGTCAAAATGTAAATAAATATCCCTGCCTGTCTTTGTGGACTAGGAGGGTCCAAAGAACGCATTCAGCCTGCACAGACCTGAATAAATAAGCACTTAGAAAAGCCTTTAATATCACACTAATAACAATAATCACCAAGTTGGGAGTGTAGCTCAGGGAGTAGAGGGTCCCTCTAACATATGAAAAACCCTGGGTTCAATCCCCAGCAGTGCAAAAACAAATAAGTACACGATAAATAAATAATTCTGGGTATAGGAGCACCTGCAATCCCAGGTACTCGGGAAGCTGAGGCAGGAGAATCACAAGTTGCAGACCAGCCTGGACAACTTAGCAAAACCCTGTTTCAAAATAAAATTTTAAAGGGCTGGGATGTAGCTCAGTGTCAGAGCACTTGCCTAGCATGCATGAGGCCCTGGGTTCAACCCTCAGTGGAAGGAAAGAAGGAAGAAAGAAAGGAAGGAAGGGAGGAAGAGAGAGAGGGAGGGGCAATAACAATGTTACATAAGCTCAGGTAATCGTCCCTCACTCTCCAGTCTTTAAAATTGATAAGACTTGGGCTGGGGTTGTAGCCCAGAGGAAGAGCACTTGCCTTGCAAGCATGAGACACTGGGTTTGAGCCTCAGCACCACATAAAAATAAACAAATAAAAATAAAGATATTAAAAAAAAATTGTTAAGACTTTCTCTCCTTCTTTTGTGCTGGGCATGGAACCCAGAACCTTGTGCATGTTGCTAAGCACAGCACACGCTTTGCCACTGAGCTCCACCCCAGCTATGATGAACTTGTGTGTGTGTGCACGTGCACATGCTACTGGGTATTGAACCCATGGACTCACACATGCTAGTCAAGTGTTCTGTCACTGAGCTACATCCTCAGCCCTTGGGAAAAATTTCTTTTAAATTCCAAGATAGGGTCTCACTAAGTTGGCCAGGCCAGCCTTGAACTTGTAATCCTCCTGCCTCAGTCTCTTGCAAAGCTTGGATTAGAGGCACATGTAAACATGTCCAGCTTTATTCCTTATAAATTACCCAGTCTCAGGTATTTTGTTATAGCCACAGAAAACTATCACAGTCCAGACTGGCACAGAGTGGGCTCTGTTAACCAAGAGGACAGTGGCAGACATGTCAGGGCCTGGAAGCACTCAGCAACACAATGGAAGACGTGGGAAACATTCTGAGTGCTGACGTCATCTGTCACTCAGACAAAGCAGTGAAGTAGATGATGTTTGAAAACAGAGGTTTGTCATTGAGCCCCTCCCCAATGTCCAGGGTCAAAACTTGGGCCTGGCTCTCAGAGACTGTCTCAAATAACCCCAGAGGCAGTAACAAGTAGAGGTGTGCCTCCTCCTAAGGAAAAACCAGCCCAGGCCTCTTCCTCCCGGAGATATGAATGACCTGGCAGGCTACACGCCCCCCGCCCCAGACACAAACACAGACCTCTGAGAAGAACAACTACATCACGAGGCCAGAGAGCTCGTGGCTCTATGCCAGCAATCTGCGTCCCTTCCCGGATCCCCACTCTAAACAAATGACTGCGCCTCAGGAAACCATGTCCTCAGTGGGAGAGGCAGGAGTCAGGAAGAAGTAGAAAGGACATTATGGGGAGTGACATCAGTGGCCAGGCAGCAGAGGTAGGGTCATTGAATTTTGCAGCTGGAGGGAACCTCAACTATCACCTTGCCACTTGGCCCTGCCATTTTACAGATGAGGAAACTGAATGGCACTCAGGGAGGTTGCGTGACTTTCCTATGTACCTGTGGCCACAAAGGTAGAGACAGGGCTAGGACCAAACCTCACAGCCTGAGGATTTCTACCTGGCCTCGCTGTCCACCCCAGAGCTTAATGACTTGGGCCCCAGGACCCCCTTTAGAAGTAGGACAAAATCTTCATGCCCACCTCTTCAGCAAAACGCACATATAAATGAAACTGCATATTTTAAGCATTTTGTGGTTCCCTTTGGTGGCTGTCTGGCAGTCCACCGAAGGCTATCGTCAGCCCCAAGTTAGAATCTGTGGACAAGGATGTATGCAATTTCCTAAGTGTGGGTGGGACAATAGCCCCAGGGGACTTAAACCTTCCCTGGGGTACTCTAAACATAACACTGCAAAGTCTGTCCTCCACGGCCACCTGCTGGGGTCCCAGGGAGTCAGGGGCACACCAGAGAAGGGACATGAGGAGCAAGCAGGGCTCCAGGGCTGGGGGTGTTCCAGGGAGGGATCCACAGCTGCAGCCAGGCCAGCTGTCCCAGGGACAAAGGGACGAGATGTTGGGTCACAGCTGTGGGGCGTGGGGGACAGCTGGGTTGATGGCACAAGGAATGGAACTGGGCGGGCAGTGGGCTGTGGCTTCCTAGGAGGCAGAAAGATCTGTGGTTCCCACCCACTCAGTCTGGGGCACAAGTGTCAGGATCATGGGCTACTGGGGCCAGATGGGACGTTCAAAGTCATCTAGTCCAGTGCTGTTGAGGTTCTCGGTCAGGTACAAGAGGCTGCACGGGAGAAGGGGGTCTCTGGCCTGTTGATATTTTGTTTGGGGAAAATAATAAAAGGGACTTTTGTTGTTTTTTAAAAAATTTGTAAACTATTAATCGAATTCAATGGTCCAAATGTTAGAGCTTCCTTTCAAGAGGCCAAGCAGGCTTGGTTGTTAACAGCTCCATGACAGGGAGCTCACTCCCACGGAGTATTCAAAGGGTCTTTGGTTCCACGATCCAGGAGGCCTGACTCCCTGAGGGAAACCCTGTCAGCAGCTGGCCTTCCACAGAGCAGCCACCTGTCACAGAGGCCCTGCAAGGCGGGCTGATTCAGGGAGGGGAAGAACCGGCTAGTCCCAGAAAGCAGAGAGCAGGAAGGAATTCTGCCAGCCCCTCCCCTCCCATAATAACACCAAACTCTGCCACCCCCGCAGGCTGACTGATGGCCCTGAGAGGCCTGTGGGGGTCCCAAGAGGGCCAGTGGCTTGGGAAGTTCTTCAAGAAAGGGGATCTATAGGTTGATGCAACTGTGCTGAGCTAGGGGAGCCCCCTCTGAGCTAGGGGTTGGGCACAGCAGGAGGCGGCCTGTAGCTTCCTGGGACAGGAGAGACCAGCAACCCCACAGGGCTCCTATGTCCAGCAGAGTGTGGTCACAGGACCCCAAAGCAAAGAAGCACACGGGCTCTGCACACAAGCAGCCAGCCCCTGAACACACAGGGGAGACTTTCCTGCTGGAGAAAGAGCCCCAGTTTCTGGGAAGCTGGCCCCACCTGAAACCAAAGCACCCCCCTCCTCCCACAGGCTCCTGTCTGCCTTACCTTGAGCTTGGCCTGGATCTCGCGGGCTTTGCGACGAGCCAGCACCTGGATGTGACTGGAGACCTGTGGCAGGAAGAGAAGGCTCCTGTCCCTACCTCTCATACAGCCTGTGCTCCCAGACCCTTGGCCCTCAGCCACATCTGTGCATAGACTGACTGAATGACAGGATCTAGGGGTGGGGGTGGTGCTCAGTCCTGTGAATCCCCAGTTTGCCAACACTTTAAAAGTGTAGTGCCAGTGTTTTGACATCTATTTTAATGTCCCAAAGAGGAGGCTGCTGTTTCTTCCCAGGGGATGACAGGAAGACTCCCCCCCCCAGGGAAGCTGGACCATGTGTGTCCACCACCCCCCACTGCCCTGCCCCTGGAGTCCATGCCTGCCTCCCCGGGCCCACCTGCTTCCTGGTGCGGGTCTTCCCTGTCCGGAGCTTGATGTAGCGGGCAATCAGCTCATTCCGACCTGCAGCGAGTGACAACAATCTCTTGGTGGGGAGGAGAGGACAGAAGGCAGAGAGGCAAGAAAGCAGGGGGACAAGAGGGTCCCTTCCCTGGAGGAGCCTTTTCCTTCCTTTCCACCTTGGGTGGGACTTGGGGTGAGAGACCACAGGGATCTCCCAGCAGCCAGAGGACACTAAGGCCTCACTGGGTGGACTGGTGACCTGAGAACAAAGAGGTCACAGCCCAAGGAGCCTCGCAGAGCCTCCCAACCCCCAGCCTTGTTCCCCACCCCATCCTGGCCACCTCTTCATCTGGGTCCCCACAACAGGCTCAAGCCACCTCTGCCCCCACCTCCGTCCGGGGCTCCAGAATAGTGCCTGACCCTTGGCCCTTTCCATATGAGATTCCCACAGTTCCTACAGCCTCTGAAAATGAGCAGAACCTTCCAAGATGTCCTGTCTGTGACTAAGGAAGGTCCTGGGAGGCACACTACTGAGACTGAGTGTCCCCAGACAGCAGGCCTGGGTCCTTCACTCAAAGACCAGAAATCCCAGCCAGGGGGCGTAGCTCAGTGGTGGAGCACTCCCCAGGTCCCTATAACGCCCTGGGTTCCATCCCCAGCACAACAGGAGCAGGGTGAGGGCTGGGGGTGCACCTCAGTGGTAGGGGGCTAGCCTAGCATGCTCACTGCCCAAAACAAGGAAACAAACAAATCCAGCCAACCCCACCTCCAGCCCTGGTTCTGACTTAGGCCAGTCAACAGGCAGCACTGAACGCTCCTAAGGCCTGGTGGCCTGGAGGTGACGCTGTATCTGCAGGACCCTGGCCAACTACAGAAGCCCTCCAAGTCTTCTATTACCCTAAATGAGCTCATGAAGATGTTCCCCCCAATGAGTTCCCCATCTAGTTATGGGGGGCATGTGCTCACACATGGTTTGAGTGCTTGCTAGAGACAGAGGTGTGTTAGAGGATGAGGATCTGTTCAGGCTGCTGGGTGGTGGGGCCTCTCTGCTTTGGATCATGACCACTGGGTATGATTAGACCACACAGAAGAAGACGGTGAGGGAGAAGGAGGGCGAGAGGTCTGGGGTGGGGGATCTGTCCATTGCCTCCTAGCTCCAGCTCTGGGGCCAGAGGGCATAGCTCCAGCCTGCCCTGTGCTGCTGAGGCTGGAGTGGCCCACGAGGAAGCTGCTGATAAAGGGGGACGTGAGCTGAGCGGGCTGTCTGCCACCTGGGTTGTAACCAGAGAGCCGGGCCAAGACCAAACTGGCCCCCCCGCTGACCTTTCCCCACTGCCAAGCCTGAATTAAGAGGCCACCCTCAAGAGGTCCTGTCTGCCAGAAAGACTTGCTGGCTAGGAGAACTGGCTTGTCTGTGTCCAAAGGAGAGAGGAGAAGCTCAGGCTCAGACTCAAGGAGACACTGCCCATGAGCTGCTCTGCACCTAAAACCATGAGTCCAGCAAGAAGTCTCTTCTCAAAGCTTTTCAGGGAAAGGTTCCACAGGAAACTCTGTCAGTCCAATGAATGTCCCACAGTTCTGCTCCATGTTTAACTAGAGGCACTCAGGCTGCAGCTATGAAATATAAGGTCTAATTCATTACCACTGGGTTACTGAAAAAGGACCACAAGCCTGGAAGGTGGGAGCTTGGCTGGAGCCCACAACTCCAAGAAGGAACTGAGACCCTGACAGGTCAGCTCCCTCCGAGGACCTTCACCCAGACTTCTCTTCTTTAAATCTAGTTTCTTTAAGGTTTTTTCCTCCAGATTCAACCAACCAAATTTTTACAGACTTAGGATACAGACCTTAATTCTGATCCAATGAGAACACTCTGTGGCTTTGCCTCCTTCTCTGTAAAATGAACACGTTCTTTGTCTAAATAAGTAGGCAAATCAGAGACCAGTCCAGAGGCAACGAGAGGGCTTCTGCACACCCACAGGCTGACTGCAGCACTGCGGGACGAGGTGCTGAGGAGTGAGAGAGCCTCAGATGGGTGGTGGGAGAGCTGGAGAGATGGGGATGGTAGGGGGTACTTGGGAGAATATCTAGGGGACAGTTCTTGTGCTACTCCTCTGGCCCATACCTTGCACACAGTGAGCAGCTATCAGTTATCTCTGCTAATTACACTCTCAGCGCCTCAGAGAAGAGCCCACACCCTCATTCAAGTCTGCATCTCCAACAACTGGCACCTACTGAGTGCCTGAGTGAATAAATGACACGAGTTTGCCATGGCTCTCCCTTCAAACAGAACTGGGCTGCTGCTCATCACCATAGCTACCATGGTCCAAGCTATCATGCTGTCTGTCTGGCCTGGACAATGAATCTCTCTCTCCACCTGGATTCCACACTCCCAGTCTGTTCTCAACACATTAGCTGCAGTGATTCAATTAAAATTCAAAAGCTGCCAGACTGGCGCATGCCTGTAACCCTGGTGGCTCACGGAGTGAGGCAGGAAGACTACAAGTTTAAAATCAGTCTCAGCAACTCAGTGAGGCCCGAAGTAACTTAGCAAGACCCTGTCTCAAAATAAAATATAAGGGCTGGGTTGTAGTTCAGTGGCAGAGTGCTTGCCTCACACATGGAGGCACTGGGTTCGATCGTCACCACCACATAAAATAAAATATTGTGTCCATCTACAACTAAAAATTAAATATAAAAAATAAATAAATATAAAAAGAGCTGGGGATGGGACTCTGTGATTAAGCACCCCTGGGTTTAATCCCTGGTAGACCCCCCCCCAAAATTTTTTAACCACACCCCCAAACAGCTCCCTGGCTTCTATCTCCCTCTGATTAAAAGTGGCCAAGACCTACCAGGTGCAGTAGTGTGCACCTGCAGTCCCAGCTACTAGGGAGGCTGCAGCAGAAAGAGTGTGGGCCCCGAAGCTGGAGGCCAGCTGGGCAAGATTAAAAAAAAAAAAAAGTAAAAGTGTGAAAGTCCTTGCGATTGCCTGAAAGCCCCTTCAGGATTTGTCCCGGCTCTGTGCAGCTCAGGCATCTCTCTAATGCCATCCGTCCCACCGCCCTGACCTCCTTGCTGTTCTGGGAACTTGTGAGGCCTTTGAACTTCCTGTTCCTCCTTCAGGGGAATATTCAGTCAAGGAGACCAATACAGCTCACCATCTTCAAGTCTCTGCTAGGGTCTGTCACGGCCTTGTGGCTCAAATGCCACCAGATGCCGTGTCTCAGGAGGTCTTCCCTGATCATGTCACTGAGTGCCCAATCACCTTCCCACTTCACCCTAGCACTTCCTATTGTCTGCACATTCCTCTGCAGCGCATTTTGGTGGTGGGGCAATTGAACCCAGGGGCACTCTACCACTGAGCCATCGCCCTAGCTCTTTTTTATTTTGCAACAGGGCCTAAATTGCTTAGGATCTTGCTAAGTCATGAGACTGGCCTCAAACTTGTGATCGTGCCGTTTCAGCCTCCCAAATTGCTGGGATTACAGGTGTGCACCACCACAACTGGCTTTGAGTTTTTCTATGCATGAACAAATCCAGAATTTTCAGGGCCCAAGGCATTTAAAAATTAGGAGACTCTCTTTGAAAAAAAGAATGAGAACTACAAATTGATTAAAAACTCTTAGTTGGGGATGCACTGGCCCAGCATATGTGAGGCCCTGGGTTGGGTCCTCAGCACCACAAAAAAAAAAAAAAAAAAAAAAAAAAACACATCTGGGAGCGATGGCTGAGTTCACTATCATGATGGCGGTAATGGCTTCACAGGTACACACATCTGACAAAACTAAAATTCAGTTTAGGGACATGGAAGGGGCTCACGCAAGTAGGAACTCCTGCAGCATAAGCCTCATGCTCTTCATGGTAAACCCGCCCCCTCCCTACAGCAGGTAGCAACTATACCTATGTGCCATGTAAGTAAACTGCAACCAGGGGCTGGGGATATAGTTCAGTTGGTAGAGAGCTTGCCTCACATGCACAAGGCCCTGGGTTCAATCCCTAGCAACACACACACACACACACACACACACGTGGAAAAAAGAAATACAGTTAATTAAGGGGAAAAAAAAAGAAAGAAAGAAAAAGAAAACTGAAACCAGAAAGTCCTATCCCGACTACCCACCAATGCATCTCTGACTGCCCAGCTGACTCTTGGCAAGGCTACTTGCTTATGGCCCTACCTGGCCGTGTCTTTCACAGACCAGGCACGCCTGACCCCTAAGGCAAGGGGGCTTGTTCCTCGGCACACAGAAGCAGTCCTGGGAGGCCCTACCTGCCACTGGCCAAGACCCTCATTCCAGGCAACATGGGACACTCAGCCTCGTGGGCCAGGAGCCTATCCCTGCCCTGTAGTGCTGGGGGACTCTCCTGCCAGAAAGGCCATCTTAGCCCTAGGCAAGAGGCCAGCTGTGGGTTTGAGCCAAACCCAAGGGGTTTAAACTATCTCTGAATTTTTTTCTTAACTGTCTATATTTATGGGGTGCAAAGTGATTATATATGTCTAAAATGTGGAACGACTAAATCAATCTAATTAATCTAATCATCATTTCAAATCTCATTTTTCATGGTGAAAACATTTGAAATTTATTCTTGTGGTACTAGGGATGTAGCTCAATGGCACACTCCTGTGAAAGGCCCTGGATGTGATCTTCAGTAAAGGAGAGAAGCAAGGGATTCTGAAAAATGTTCTTTTTTGTGGTACTGAGGATTGAGCCCCAAGGTCTTTCACCACTGAGCTACACCCCCAGCCCATTTAACATTTTATTTTTAGATAATGTCTTGCTAAATTGCCAAGGCTGGCCTCAAACTTGCAATCCTCCTGCCTCAGCCTCCAAGTCTCTGGGATTACAGGTGTGGCCACCACACCCAGTTTATAATACATTATTATTAACTAGTCATCCTACTGTGCAATAGACTCAGTCAGGTCTGAGTCTATTGCACAGTAGGATGACTAGTTAATAGTAATGTATTATATACCTAATTAGATATATCATACATTATTATATACCTAATCTAAGTATACTTTGTGTTCTTTGACAACATCTCCTGTTTTTGGTTCTCCT